TCCCTCAGGCCCTGTGAGTTTGACTACTGGAAGCTGGTGGTAGAAGTTGAAGCCCAAAACATCTGAAGGAAGGGGAAGGGTGCTCTAGTAGATCTGCAATGTAGCTTTCTCTGGCTTGTTAAGATTCAGCTCTGGTTCTGAAATCAGCTATTTTAATTGCATCTGCTTTTAGTCTGTATACTAAAACTGTATAGATACTGTACCTTTTCACACTTGGATGTCTTCTCCTGTTTCATTCTTGCATCTGTTCCACTGCCTGTATGCAGTACTGTGTGCTACCAACTGTCAGATATGAGAGTTGAGATACAGCTGCAGGAAACCAGGTTTCACAAAGCCCTTTTGGTACTGAACATGAGAAGACAATTTTACAGAGCAATCCTGGGCAAGTCTACTGGGAAGTAAGTCCCCTGGGGTTCAATAGGCCTTCTTGCCAGAGAAGTACATATGTGGTTGCAGACTTCATAAACCTGTGATCAGACTGGTTTTAAAGCTATCAGAGGAAACTGCACATTTATAGCATTGGTGTCTATTTACAGGGAACCAAAATCCATGTAGCTTAAGATGCGGATCACTGTTGCAAGAATTAAATGGATCAAGCATTGATATACTTTTGAGACAGGCATAGCACCAGTTACTTATCAATTAGGGTGAAGACAATAATGCACAGAATCTGGAAGCCAGATTCTCAAAACATTCTATCACTGAATGGGGAGTAGGTGGGTTTTGCTCCCTGCAGATTTACAATTTAGATTGTACACATCTTGGAGCATACCTCTGCCTTTTGTTTGGTTAACTCTATGAAGTACTATGTTCCTTGATGGTTCTATATAAATTAACCAGCATGTATTACTAACATGCCTGCACACACACACACACAGCTCATTAGGATGAATACGGTTGCTTTACTTTTTTCTTTCCAATGCTTGTGAGGTGACACTGATGAAGTTGCCGAAATGGCTTTCTGGATTGTCTTCTGAGCAATGCTGCTGAGAACTGAGCCATGTAACACAGCAGTTAGCATTCCCACCTGCCACTGATCTTTTCTGAAATGCTTAGATGTTCAGGGTATCTGGGATTTGTACTCTCTGATGCTCAAATAACACCTAAATGGGTGAGCTGGGACATTTCCTTGAGTGGAGGGCAAGAAATCTAACCCTGAAAGATGGGGAACATGAGTACATGGGGGTACACAATACTAACTCACCTGAGCAAATAAAAGTATAACCCACAATATACTTTTCTATGAGGAATAAGCAAACAAGGGATGAGTTTTCTGCTCTGCGAAAAGCTTTCTCTGTATTATCCCACAAGGGATGCTTCCTTGTATGTGGTTGTTTAAATCTGGCATGTTTTAAGTGCCCCTGTTGGACTATATTGCTGTGTTCACCCTAACAGTTATATATAATGGAAATGTATGTTTATGGCTATTTTTCTTAACAATAAATATATAATACAATAAATTCAAACTCTTTGTTTGGCTACTTGTTCTTTTCTCTCCATGTGTGTCCAGAGTTCTACTCTAGTGTCCTGAGAAGCTTTGTTCCTTATCTACTGCAAAATAGCTGCAACATTTCTATCTCTTCCTTGCCTGTGATGCTTGTCTGGCTGGACAACAGTGTCAAATCTCATTTGCTACTTTTGCTTGCTTGTTTGTTTCCATTTCTATACTGCCCAATAGTCAAACTTCAAAGATGATGAACAGAGGGAAAGTTTGGTGTTCAGTGGCCCTGGTATTATTCTAGAAAACATATTTCCATGCAAATACTGTGAATCTGCATAGTTTTACTGATATGCAGAACAGGAAATTTAAGGAGGACACTTTTCCAGTTTGCAGACCCATAATCTGCTTCACGAAGTCAATACCGTGTCTGATCCCATATAGCCTAATAGGCACAATAGGTAAGTATACGCAATCATGAATGTGTAAGTTTGAAATAGAAAATGTCTATTTACGAATATAGAAGGAATTCTGCAATCATGTGTTAAACTCAGCTTATTGTGCAGTATCAAAGGCCTCTTTCAAATTTATCTCAGTGTATTTTGCATGTACACACGGACAGGCAGACAGCCAAGGGCACACACACACAATGCACAGAAAATTGATCAATTCCTGCAAATAAATTAGCACAAACTCTTCATGAGCAATTGGGCACTGACCACTTCTTGTTGGCTTTCTTAGGCATCTGGAAAAGGGACTTGGATATTTGCTTAAATCAGATGGGCAACTTGTGGACATCCAGATGTTTGCAAGTCCCATCATCTCACCATTGGCTGTGTTCACTAGGGCTGATGGGAGTTGCAACCCAACAACATCTGGACAGCCACAATTTGCTCATTCCTGACTTAAATGTACATATGGAACCATTCAATTTAGAATTGGTTCTAAGAATTTTTAAAGTAACAACCAGAAAACAAAAACCTGGACAAGGCAATTTCTGTTTTCATCTTTAAGCAGTTTATCTCATTGTAACAAGTACCCGAAACTGAACCTGGAAAAAGATTGGATCTTGAGAGTTGTTATTCAGCTGGAATGATACTGTCTTTCCCCTGGCATAGCAGTTCTTGAAAATGAAGCCAGGTTGTGAGGCATAACTGCAAGATCAGAACTGATTCCTTTCTTTGTTGCTGATTCCCCAGTTGGGACCTCCTGAATGCTTTTTCTGTGCTCACTAGTTTCCTGGGTTTAGTGTATGTATCTCCCTATCAGTAAATCAGATACACAGAGGGAAACAAGCAGTCTCACTGGAATGTCTAAGTAATTGCCTGCACATGAGTTGCATGTACATAATAAATCAGTTGTTAAATTGGACAGAGGAGAACTAGATTTGAGGTGGGCAAATGAGTACAAGCCACTCATGCATATCATTCTAAAGTGCCTATATCAATTCCATGTACACCCCATTCTAAATTGTTTCTCTTCCAGCACCTCCTTTTCTCATTACATAAAGCACAATGATTGGGAAGTCTGTAGTATTAATTTGCTCTCTTTTGATCCATGTTTTGTGTCTTGGAGAAGTGTACTTTATAATATGAGCATGAATATAAAATTTGGCCCTTGCACAGACTTTATGAAGATACCTGTTACTTCTCTAAATGCTTATACCAAGGAATGCCACAGTTGATTAGAGACTGAGTAGCAAGGTAGCTCAGAGGTAAAGTAGTGAATGAGAACATTCCTGATTCAAATCTTGTTCTTCCTGGGAACTAAGTGGGTGACATCCAATGAGCTTTTTCAATTTATGGGATTATTTTGATCCATAAAAACTTGGGGGAAGGGAGACATTTCCTTGTAGCACTGTGCATACCCTCAAAATTTGATCTGGAAGACTGTAGAACCATCTGTAGTATATTTTCAGGGGTGTGAAATTAGTGGGAGGAAAGAAGGAAAAAGTCCCATCCTGTTAGCAGACTTTTGCTCACACAAATTTGGCTTTTACTAGGTTTTCTTATGCTAATCATAATTTGCCAGCCCCTTTACCTGCCGTATGGGGAGACAACATGTTGCAGTGGTTAGAAAGTCAGGCTGTGACTGAGGAAGCCTCAGGAATCCCCTCAGCCATGAAGTCTCACTGGGTGTCACTGCACCAGTCAATATTTCTCAGTCTATTCTACTGCAGAGAGTGCTTGTGAGAATGAATTGCAGATTGCACAGGGAGAAGGAACTAAATAGGCCATCTTGACCACCTTGGAGTAAGGAAGGCTTGGATGTAGTATGAAAATATGGAAAGATAAAACTAACTAGGACTGTCAGATGAATTACCAAGAGACATTTCAAACATTTTAAACTGCAAGCAGTAAAAATTAGAATTATCCATGATTTTGAACTTTAATTTGGTGACTTGATAGTGAAGATATTTGGTTCTTCTGAAGTTATCAGAATGGCATCTATCTTTAGAAGAACCATTTTTCCCAATGTAGTTTGTCTACTTGTTTTGCACTGATACAGTGCCAATAGTGTGGTTGCTTGATAATAGCCTTCCTCCTTGAATTGCTACAGTATAAGAAACCAAATTGCTGCTAAAGCTGTCCTCCAGTGACACAGAAATAAAAAGGTATTACACAAGAAAGCAGAAAAATAAGAGAATTTCCTTTCACTTGCTCTACCATGAAAGCTTTCCAACTCTGAAGCCCCAAATACAAGCACTTTTGGGGGAGGGGGTGAAAAACTCAAGAAGAGCCATGCTGGAGCACATCAAAAGCTTATCTAGTCCAGGATTCTGCACAGAATCCGTGGCCAACCAAGGCTGTATATGCCTGAACCTGGAAAAAAATGTGCACTATGGAAAATTAAAATCATCAGGAAAAAATGTGCACTATGAAATTAAAAAATGCATTTTTACACTTTAGCAAGTAAGAAGAAATATGCATTTGGGCATGCACCTAAAAATCACACTGTTCCCATTTTTAAAAAATCAAACACCAACAAAAGCTTGCATGCAGAAACAAGAATGAGGCAAACTGAGTTTTGAAGTGGACTCTGCAAACCTCAACAAGTCCAAGCCTTGCTGATTCACTCATCCCTCCACAGCAGAGCACAGTTTTCAGATCCTCTGATCATTCTCACCTTGCAACTGCTGCAAATGGCTTCCTGATGACAACTCTTCCACAATTGGAAGAATTAACCCCAAGCATAAAGTGGCAAGAGAAGCAGTAGAGTCCAAGCGGTCAGTTTCTGCAATTCGGGCCATTGCAAACATTTTACAAAGATGCATTTGCTTGTAGCTGGTGAAGTGCTCTGATAGCACTGATGGTAATTAGGTGTCCTCCCATGCAAACACAACAGACATGTACCAGTCTTAAGAAGGTGTTTAATATTCCTTAGGCGTGCATGTTATTTTCTAGTAGCTCTTGTCAGTTTGCATGTCATTATTCATGCCATCCAATGCGCCTGTTTTCTGTGGCTCCTTTGAAGGTCACCTCTACTGTGACTCAAGCTAAGGTTTGTTTAATTGCTACTAAGCCTGCATGTGAGTCAAATCCTTCCTCGTCCTTGTCCTCAGGTATGTGGCCATATCCCGAGAGGAGAGAGAACAGAACCTGATGGCCTTCCAGCACAGCGAGAGGATTTACTTCCGGACTTGTCGGGACATCCGGCCAGGGGAGAGGCTGAGGGTCTGGTACAGTGAGGATTACATGAAGCGACTGCACAGCATGTCTCAAGAGACCATCAACAGAAACCTCACAAGAGGTGGGTGTCTTTCCCGTCTTTATTCTTTCTGAATTAAAAAAAGAAAAATGCCAAAATTGGAATGATTATGAAGTTCCCAAAGGAACTGATACAAATAACTGTATTTATACATCTGTATAATATACCAAGAAAGAAAAATCCAACATCATCAAACAATAGTTTGAAATGAACAGAAAACCCCACTGAAGTAAGTTAATCCAATAGGACAATTTGGGGAGTATTTGATTCCATTAGCCTGAAATGAATGTCCTTTGCTTGACTGGATTTCCTGGCTTGCAGAACATTTACCCCCTTGCAAAGTATCTGTAAGAACTGATTAATCTTGCCACCATGTTTTTCTGTGACAAAGAGTGGCACCTGTTAAGATGCATTGGGTACATCTGACCAGGGTTTTATAAGATATATGGGAATGCTCATAAGATGTGCATATAATCCTGGGGGTGGGAGTTGCTAGAGCAAATCAAGGGTTTCTGTCAATAATCAAGACTGTGACCTTGGCAAAAAATAGGGGAAAAATAGGAACGTTGAATTTGCAGGAGGCTCATCTGAGTTTGTATTGATATGAATTCAAGGTGCAGATTCTGTTTAAAATATTTTGGTATGGAACCATAAAAAGAGTGTATCTATTAGTCCTGAAATAGCATTCGAAAATGTGCACAAGCACTTACTGAAGCACACGTCTATTGAACCTACTTCATGTCTGTGGTGATGTTTTGTGGCCTGAGTCTTGCTTCCTTCTCATTTTCCTTAAAAGAACTTTCCCTAAATTGCCAGCAGGTTTCAGTGATGCAGGAATTAAGAGAGCAAAGCTAAAGGAAACGATCGAAAGAGTTTTGCGGTTCAGTTGAAAGGAATAATCTATTTCTGTTTAATAGCTAACCTGGGCAAGATCATATGAAATACAAAGCAGACATGGTATTAAGATTCAAACACTTGACATGTCCAATTAAAGGATCTCAGGTTAGGGAGGACAGGAGATTCATTTTTCTTAAATCTTCGAGAGCTGTTGACAGTCTTGAATTTGGACAGGCTTATAGTAAGACTCAAGATAAGAAAGGTTCTTTTCTATGCCAGCATTATCTGCCGCTAAAACAGAAATGCAGGAGGCTGATCCTACCAATTGGATTGGGCCTTCTGTGCAAAAGCCATAGCAGTTTGGTGTGCCATACAACAGGGCAGTGATGTGAGAGATGCTAGGAACTGAACGTGCCGAACGTGAGGACCTAGGAGTGTTTTAAAACACACACACAAATAACCATCAATGTTTGTTCCATCATGTCTCAGCAAGCCATGGCAGGAAATCCTGGGCAACTGTCTCATGCATAATCTGGGATCAGTATTCTGAAAACATGTCATTCTTTTGGTCAAGGCAATGCTATAGATTATGCACTTCCCCACACTCACTATGCATGAGCATAGAAATTGTCCCTGGGTTCTAAATACAGCATTTGTGCCAATTTTAGGTTTAAAATATGTATCTAATTAAAAATGACATATATAGAATACACAGCCCTGATTTAATGAGTGCTTCTGTTTAAGAATCTGGTATGAAATTTTGATAATTTATGACAAGAAAGGAAAAACTAATTAACAAATATTTATGTCTCAAGATCTACATGGTAGATACTTGAAGGATGAAATTGCTGGTCTCCTGGAAAAAAATATGCAATTGGTTACTAAATCTGCTTCTATGCTAGAAGATAATAGAGTAGTCAATAATGCTGGTTTTTAAAATAAGATTTAAAGGAACACCAGGATATTCCAGGGCAGTTAGCCTAATGAGAATGATTAAGAATATGAAAGAACAAGCCCCCCCCCGCCTTTTTTTGATAGGACTCAAAATGGCTTCTGCAATGGGCACTCCTGACTTACCAGCCTTGTAGTGTTCTTTAGAGGGTAAACAAGTATTTGGATAGGGCTGATAGATAATGTACTTAGATTTTCAAAAGGCCTTTTAAAAAGTTCTCAGCAACAACCTCTGAGAAAAATCCTTAACAGGAAAAATCCTCTTATGGGTCCATAAATGGTTAAAGAACAGGAAACAGGATAGGAGAAAACACAGTTCTTGCAATGGCAGGTAGTGAGCAGTAGAAACTGCAGTGTTCATAAATGATCTGGATTTGGGTGAGTAAAGGGGCCACTCTTGGATTATAGCTGATTATTCAAAGAGGATGGCAAAGTGCAGGTTTGTAAACAGCTGCAAAAGGTTATTGCTAAACTGGGTGAATAAATAGTACAATGGCTAATGAGTTTCTGCATAACTTAGTAATGCAGAGTACACGCTGGGGCAAAAGGCAGGAAAGACATCTTGGATCTGTGGTGAATAGCTTAATGAAAATGTCATGTGCAAGTTGCTGGTGCTTCATGTGCAAGAAGCCCAAGCTGGTTTTCGTTTTTTTTAGTAAAGGAAAGAAAAATAAGCACACAGTTTGTAACATTTACAATACACCTGTTATCCCAGTACAGCTATCGTGAAACTGGAAAAAGAGGGTTTCATTTGCAGAAAGGTGGTTTCATTCCAGGTGCATATGCATGGGACATTGTTACGGGGTGGGGAGAAGGAGGCCTTACAGTGCAACCCGTGCTCAGAAGCAGGTCCCACTGGATTCTGTGGACTAAACTCCCTTGAAAATTAAGGTTTGGGATTGTACCCTGCAACTCTGATTTTGGATTAAGCCCAGTTGAAATCAGTGGAACTTTCTTCTATGTAAGTCTGCATAGCAGGAAATGGTGAACCTCTTCTAGCCCAAGGGCAGAACTTAACAGGAACTTAGTTTTTTCAGTAGTGAGTGGGGCTAAAGAAAAAATGCAAAGAATGCCATCCTGTTGTATCTCTTATTGCCAGTAAGGAAGCCCTGGAAGAAGCATTTGAACCTTTTACAATGTGGAAAAGATGCACAAAAGCTGAGAAACCCCCAAATGATTGATGGTTTGGAAAAAGAGATTGTGTAGGGATGGGGGCACTCTTCCTATAGTACACCCTTCAAGGTTGTCAGCTCAGATTCTGATTCAGAAGTGGAAGAGAGTTGGGGTTTGAATTTGCAGGATCTGAAGACAAGCCTGGTAGGCCCTGAGAACTAGACAGTTTCAAATTTGGTGGGAAATTCTAGTGAGCAAGCTAAGATCACGCTGAGATGGGTGAGAATATACTTAACATCATTAGTCCAATCATACAGCATCAGGCTCAGAGGACAAACCAACTAAGAAGCATCAGATCTTGGAGGCAGTTGGCCCATAAGCAGAATGTTCCATCTTGAATGTGGGGTCAGCTCTTCTCAGTTTGAAAGGGAGTAATGGGTTTCAGTGTAGACTCAGCTTTTCATAATCAAGACACATTTCTCTAATGACCGGTATTCAAACTTTCCTTGGGTCTTGTTACTGACTTCTGCAGTACTCTTCCTTTGTAGTACAACCACTCACACTGGTTAGTTTTAACATAATAAAGAGTATTAATTAGAAAGACTTTATCCCGATGGAGCCATGGGAAAGGGTGTGGCTAATTAGGGAACTCCTGCTGGCCAAATTGGGAGTCCAGGAGACTGGATTTTGCCCTGGGCCTGAACTTTTCCATCCCTATATATAGGACTGTGCTTTAAGGAAGACCATGTAGAAGTATTATAAAATTAAGAACAGGGTGGGCAAATTGTAGACAGAACTTTTCTCCCTCCTTCGTGACAGTAGAATTTAGAGTTATCCAATTAA